CGGCCCCCGCGCCGAGCTGCAGCCCAGGGGCTTTTCCACATCGGTTCTCACCGTCACGTTCTCGACCCAAAAGGGAGGATGTTCTCACCGTCACGTTCTTGACCCAAAAGGGAGGATGTGGCAGCGCTGGCAGCATTTTGATTTCTAATGGTCATAACGGTAGAACTTTCTGACGGGAGGACGATGGGAGCCGTGTGAGTGACGACCGCCAGCAGCAGTGGCACACGTGGATGATGATGAAGATGACGCTGAGGACGCCGTAGCTCGTGCCGATGATCTTGGTGGCGTAGATTGTGCGCGAGCGCCGGCGCTCATAGATCACGGTGAGCCGGAAGCTCTCGCCCGCCCGCCAGCAGAAGTAGGTGCCGCCATCGCTGACCTGGACCCGCTGGATGTGCAGGTGGTTTCCGTGGTCGATGAAGACCCTCATGCTCTTTTTGACGCCGACGAGGTAGTGGGAGCGGTAGAGCTGGACGGAGTCCTTGTCCCAGGCCACAGCGTGCTCAGGCCGGGCTCCTGGGCACACGATGGTCAGGTGCCTTCCGATGGGATGCCTGTGAAACTGCACGGGCACGTGGGGCAGCCAGGGCTTCTTGCCCAGCTTGAAGATGACATTGGCGATGGCCTGCATGCCTTCCTGGGGGAGCTTCTTCTTCGGGCAAGGGGTCACGCAGCTTCGGATGGCCACCTCGGGTCTCCGCAGGTTGTTGAGGTGCTGGAAGTGCGGGGGGGGCGGCCCTGGAGCCGCAGGGGGTGCGGTACCGGGGGTGCAGCTGGGTGCTCTGCACGTAGCAGAGCCCGATGCGCCGCTGCTCACCTCTCACCCCACAGCGGTCGCACCGGGTCCAGTCCCAGAAGGTGGTGAAGAGCCTGAATTGGTTCTCGATGTAATCCTCCTGGATATGCTGGCCTTGGTCCAGAAAAGCCACTGTGATGCGCCTGCTGGGCTGCACGTCCACGTCGTAGCCATAAAACAAGTCCCCACTCTTGGTGCCGCACAGGTAGTGCCCCGAGTCCGTCACCTGGGCTCGGAAGACGATGAGGCTGAACATGCGGATGCTGAAACGCTTGAGCATGTCGCTGCCCACGCGGATGTGGCCCGAGTCGACAATGACAGTGCCCGAAAAGTCCGTCAGGACTCTGGTTTTGCGCCTGCCCATGCTCTTCTGGAAGTACCAGGTGACAGAAGAGACCTCCTCGGGCTTGCACTTGCATGGGAGCTCGAAGGTCATGTCGGCCAAGTAAGCAGCGTTTTCGAACATCAGGAAAGCGGGACAAGCCCTTCTCTTGAACACATTTCCTTTCTCTTCGACTGCAAAAGCGTGGAGAACATCCACAAGGCAGAGGAGAAGAGCAGCTCCCAGCAGCCTCATCTCCATCTCACCGGGCAGTCTCTGCAGTCGGCGGGACGAACGCAGCCACCACGTCCTCAGCGGGGACGGCAGCGACCCGCACATGGGGCACCAGCTCACGGATCAGAGGTGGCCTTTGTGAACGCCAGGTTCTAGAACGTCTCCTCTCTCCCAGCTGCCCTGGAGTGGGACTCTCGGTGTTCCCAACAACGGGCGGGCAGGTCATCCATGCAGCACAATTGCGGGGGGCGGATGCAGTGATGCGGAGCACGGAGGGATCACGGGAACCACCACCAAGCTCCTCGGACACTAACGTGCAGGAAGTGCCAATTACTCTGAATGC